GAGGCTCAAAAATGTAAAACAAATGATATATGATATTACATGGGTTACTGTTTTAAATGAGGTTCTTTTAAAGCAATAATACATTTTGTATTTTAACATAACATGTTGTGATTGGGTCCGTCTGCATGTAGTTTGCAAAACTTTGACTCTACTGCAGGGGATGAGGTACCCCAGAAGTCAACTGAGCAAGTTGTTACCCTAATATGCCTTAAAACTAGGGATGCACCGATACCGGTGTTCGGCCGGCTCTATGCTGAGTGGCTGGGAAGCCGACTTCCCAGCCAATCAGCCAGGAGCCGTCTGTTCGGCTCATTCCTGTTCCGTGCATGGCAAGTGAAGCCCCGTCCGTGTACATGCCAATCCTCCAGCAGAAATAAAGGCAACTTTGGATCAAAGTTTCCCCAAGTCCGATGCACTGCTCCAGCGGCTGTCGGCCAGTCCGGGCTACAGGGCGCCCACCACCCCGGCTGTGCCCGACCAATGGAAGCCCCTGTGCGCTGTACGATATGTTCTGCCGCCTTGATGCTGATTAGTTGGGAAGCCGGCTTCCCAGCCAAGCAGCATGGAGCTGGCTTTCCCAGCCAAGCAGCCTCCCGGCTTCCTGATTTCCCAGGAAGTTGGCTCCATGTTCCCCTACGGCACTGCCGGTCAGAGGAAATTTTCCTCTGACCGGAAGTTCCGGTATTGGGGAAGGTATCGGAGCATTTGGACGAGTACGAGTACTCGCCCAAATACTCGCTATTGGCACCGATACCAATACTAGTATCAGTGACGGTGCATTCCTACTTCAAAGTAACGGTTTTGGAAGACATTAAATTGGTGGGTAAAGTTCCTCTTTAGGTGACACCCAGTGTCACTCTATCCTGTGGACTGAGGAAAGACTGTGAGTGTAGGGTGTCATGGTGAGCACTGTACCATGCATTTTAAATGTATTGATGCCGAGAGCAACACTGATGTCATCATGTCAGCACCCCTCTCTAATCCAGGATCAGGAGAAGACTGAAAAAGAAGACAACCCTGTGTGTTGCGTGATCCTCAAGAAGACATCAGAAAAAGGTAAGAAAAAAAGCATAATATACTGCCGTCAGAGGGGAGAAGAAGGTCTCCGGAGTTGGTAATCGTGGAAAGGTTATATTTTTTACTGAATGGTATAGGCTGAAATTCCACTTTAGGAATGTTCGGAAACAACTGCAAAGCAAAGGGTTAACTAAGACAAGCAGTGCTGCTTAAATTATCATAGATGTCGAGAAAATACATGACGAGATGACTCGATAACGTATGTACGCAATACGCAGCCATGTCCAATTCATTGTAGCTGGTTATACAAATAGCATACACCTTTCTCATGCCCCATAGTAACCTGTACTCCATCTTTGTGAGAGAGTAGCTGCAGGAGTCACAAAAGCCAGTCTGCCCTCAGTGGCGGCACATGGATTGCCTAGGAATTATGTATTTCCTTTTCTTTTGAATGCGTGCATAGTATTAGGCTGCTGAATGAAGTCTGAAGGAAAAATTGCCCATGTTGCCTATGGCAGCCAATCACATTCTTTTCATGCAGTAAAAACATAGGAGTCTGACTGTTTGATATAAACTACATATCAACAAGACTCTATTTGATATAAATTTCTCACTTAGCCTTACTTAGGGTTAAAACAAAAATACTTTGCTGGTACACACCGCAGAGGACTAGGGTGAGCTAGGACTAATAAAATATGTTGGACTGGTGGCCCTGAAGGGAGATACTTTTCCATTCAGACCTCAATCAGTTCAGAACCTGCCGTCAGCAACAGCTGCTGGGTATTTTATAGCTTCCTTATTAGGTACCTGAATGGAGACCAAGCTGAGAAGGAGGCTACACGTGCACCTTTCGTCCCCAAACCTGTAGAGGTGGTGACAGAGGATGTAAGGACGTGGAAGAGGCACAGGTGCTGGTACTGATGGCTGGATGAGTTCCATAGAGACGCTTGAGGGAGTTGGATCGGCAGACAAATCTGCAGGACACCAGAGTCCGTAGGAACTGGAGGCCCAGAGTAGTGGTGGTACGAAGCACCGAGTCATACACAGAAAGCAGAATCTCAAAGTGCCGAATCGTAGATCAGAAGGAAGGTCAGGAATTATGAGCCAGGGTCATACAAAAGAGAGTAGAAAGTCGAGATAACAAATTGGAAGGAGGAGGCGAAGTCAATGGTCACAAACCAAGTTGAAACACAAAAGAGCAGGATCAAAGGAACAGAATGCAGGGCACGCAGGGACTAGCTGATGACCACTCAGCAACTCGCTCATGGCTTTCGTCTGTTTAAATAAGCAGAGCATGCCCGCTAACGAGCGTTCCCCAGTGCATGGTGTGTGCGGCCATAAGTCATTTGCGATTGTATGCTCCAGTGCCCGCACGTTTATGTGCCAATGCGTGTTTGCCCGTAACCTTTAGCACGGGGTTGTCTCTTAGCCAGAACTGGTTTACGTGTAACTCTCTTACATGCCTCTAAAGCCAAACCCTTTTATTTAGTTTTGGATAGAGCGGGGAAACGTTAGCGACTCTATCAGGTTTTTATCTATATACTGTATGTGTCTCGGGAGGACCACAGGAAGTGGTGGTAAATCTCCACAATGGGGACATAGATGATAAAAAAAATATTAAAAAATCACAATTGTAGTAGCATGGACAAAGGGTAGAATTTCTGACAATGTATTTATAACTACCTTGCTTTTCAATAGGTCTATGGGGAGTCGGATGTAAATGGACATGTGTCTGTTCACATTAGATTACTCCCAATTCGGCACGATCAGGTCAGGCCAAATGGAACAGTGTCCCGTTAGTTTTTTTGGACCTTGCTGGAGTTGAAGGTAACTGGGTGTAAATGACACCTGTCCGTTTAGATGCAGCTGCCAATAACTAGACAGGTCCGCCTGAAAAACTGACAGATGGACCCAATGTGAAAGGGGCCTAAAGGTGCCCATACACCTTACGATTATCGGACGAAACTTTTCGTCCGATGATCGAACCGTCGTACGATTTTCGTACGACGGCCCCATCCTGCCCCGATTTTCGAAAGGTTCAATCAGCGGTAGTTAAAAAGAAACACCTGGACAACTTCCGGTAATTGACTGCAATTATTCTCGTTTGCGCATGCGCAGTGTTAATCGTACGACTTTTGACGGACAGAAACGCCACCAACCATGCGAACATCGTACGATCGACCAAAGTTTTCAAACATGCTTGACCGTCAAAAGTCGTACGATTGTACAGTACTATGGGTCGGGCACTCTATTCACACGTTACGATTGTCGTACGAAAAGTCGATCGCATACGATTATCCTACGATAATCGTAAGGTGTATGGGCACCTTTAGGGTTTAGATAAAGTTGTGTTTAACTGGACAGTTTCACAGCTGGTAGATCTTGTGTTAAGTGTACAAATGAAGATACGCAGCTCATCTTTAACCTCCTGCTGTCAGGTCTAGAGGGTGCCATTATCTTGGGATAAGAGGTGTTTGCCAAATTGCATTCCCCCTTTCTTTTCATGTGTGTGATAGAAGGTCAGCCAGCGACCCAGGCTAGCCTTCCCATGCTCTCCATGGAAGGCAGCCCAGTTCCCCTCGTACATAAAGCTCTTCTGTGAGAGAAGCATCTATTTTTCCCAGGGTGACCTACAAAGAGGACAGACCTGTGTGTTCCTCCGATGCATAACTCATATAGGTGAGTATCACTTGTCATCTGTCTCCTGTCTGCCTATGCCTGGTTATTATCCATGTGTGTATGTAACCTGTCCATTAATGTACATGTTATTCCTATTACTGACATTTATCTTGTCTTGTATACACCAGTTTGGAACCCGTGTATACATATCATCATCACCAGCCTTCTGAGACACTGTCCAGGGACATCATTAAACTATCTAACAGATGAGCTGATTTCACTTACTATCACTAACTAAATGGTTTCTCCTAATCATTCTCCTAGTTCAGTATAAGAGAAGCTGATCAATTGATAAATGAAGTGGCCGGAGCAGATTTATGGGAGCAAAGAAAGGATGTGACCTAGAGCAACCAATCAGACGCCTGCCTTTGCTTTCTATCCATAGTTACATAGTATTTGAGGTTGAATAAAGACATTAGTCCATCAAGTCCAACCTATTAGGATCTCATTCTAGGAGTACCCGTACCCCTGTCTATTACGATCCCTTAAGAAATCGTCCAAACGTTTCTTGAACAATTCCACATTATTTGCTGAAATCACCGCCTGCGGCAGTGAGTTCCAGACCCTAACCGCTCTAACTGTAAAGAACCCCCTTCGCCCCTTGTGCTGGAATTTTTTTTCCACCAATTTTAGGTGGTGGCCTCTAGTTTTTGTAATGGAGTTAATTTTAAACAGTTTATCGCTAATGTTGCTGCCACCATTGAACATTTTGTACATGGAGATCATATCCCCCCTCAATCTCCTCACCTCCAATGTGAACATGTTTAAATTTAGTAGCCTTGTCTCGTAGCTCTGGTCCTCCATACCCCTATCCAAAAATATTAAACGGCCTCTGAGAACTTGTTGGTTGTTACCGGTAACACAGACACTTTAAATAGTTTCCATTGACTGTTTAAATACTTGGACAGTCTCGTGTACCAATTTCTGGACATTGATGGAGACATAAGGCTCAATTCACTAGCCTAAGGCACTTTATTTTCGGCCATGTGACTGTAACTTTTTGACTCTAGTGGACTCACCTGAAATAAAATAGCTGTCACATTTTTGAAAATAAGGTCACTTATCCTGGGGTAAATTGTGGCTTTGTGAATTGAGTCTATAGAGAGGTTTTTGCTTTTATGATTGGGACTGATGGATACAGTATATCTATTTTTTCCAAATGCTGTAAAAAGAGGGTCGTTTGGATGCCATGGTCAATGTGTTTCTTCAATGCGGGCAGTTGCAATGTATTCTGGGTATTTCTCTGTTTCTGTACCACGTTCATACCAATTTCTCCTCTTCTGCAGATAAGTTTATAATTTGGAGATGGACACCGTGTGATGTGCTGGTACGAAGGTGTCAACATGTCTGCAGAGAGGGATGAGTGGGTACCGGAGGAACAGGAGACTGTCACCAGCAAACTGCAGCGTAAAATAAAGCAGTCCCCCCTTGTCCCAGTGGGTAAGTGACAAGAACGTTATAAAAATAATTACATTCGCTAACCATCATTTGGGTGGAATTTGCAGCTCCATTGGTAGCCTCTCTTAAAGCATTTCAAGATATCTAGTAGTTCTTGGCACCGAGAATCATTAAGAAAACAAACACCCACGTACCTGAGGAGGGGATGTCCCAATAAGTTCTCCAAAGTCTGGGGAGGATGGCTAGGAGCCGCGGATACGGCGGGCTGAGAGAGGCTAGTGCTCTTTTATATGGAACCCCCTGAGAGGGTGAAACAGGGACTGGCGGTGAAATGAAATACATCTTGCATGTCTAACCTTTATATATCCAATCTTGTAGCTACTGCTATCCTGTACGAGGTACTGACACCCCGTGCGGGGCGGCTGGCGTTAGGGGGACACACACCTACTAGGGGACGGGAACCTTAACTATGGGACTGTTCCTATAATGGGGTTCGGTTTGTGCTGTAGGTTATTATGTTTGTAGTGTACTAAACTGTATGCCTTCACGGACGTGAAATGCTTATGCCATGTTTTGTACTAAAACTATCATTAAAAAAGAATTTATTTAAAAAAAGAATTTATTTAAAAAAAAGAATTTATTTAAAAAAAAGAATGTAATGTAATAAAACAAACAGCCCCTAACAGACACTAACATCCAACCTGATCCTAACAATAAATCACCCTATTATTTTACAGTGAACCTGAAATGTCTATCAGAATGTATACAACAACTTTACCAGGGTAGGGCAGGCCACTTGCTGCGTCCCCAAATACCTGCACTTATTATTTTTTTGAGCTTTGATTGGACTGTGCACCCTGGGCTGAGGATGTGTACAACATCTTGCCTTCTCTCCAAACATGCTTAAAGCCGAAGCTTGGGAACCACAAAGAATTTTCATCTGCTACTATCTATGCAGTTTATCTATTGTTTCCTTTGCTTCATTTGGCACACAAATATTGTCTTATAGTTTACTTTGTTAGTGCAGTTTGTGCTGTGGCTTCATATTGAAATGGAAAGATCATTTTTAATAACAAGAAATGTAAATTTTTTTATATGCTATATTTTTTTTAACGAAAGTGGCGTTTTCCTTTAACTTTTGCTATAGACCTATGTTTAGCCCAAGCACCTTTACATTCACTTTCTGTTGATTGACTCAATAATTCATGGTCCTGAGAATGTAAACTCTGCCCATACCGTAGCTGGTTATTGTGGACTTAAGAATTATTCTGCAATGACCAAAAAGGATTCAAAACTTGTTGTATGGTACCGCATGTTTACTCACGTTTTGCCTGTTAGCAATATTGCCATAGGACAATCATTAGCACCGGAGTACACTGGGTGCATTCATAGCAATCTGGCATGGGCTCATGACCTATAAATACATCAGTTTTGTCCAGACTAGTTCCCAGATCATATTGCTGACTGGGTAATTGTGTGGATAGACAAAGGAAACCTTCTGGCACTATTTAAGGGCTGGTGTAGGCATGAGCATAAGAGGCTGTCTGAACCTTGTGTGTACAGCCCGTGAGGAGTCTACCGTCTAAGAACCCACCCCAGGTCAACAGTTAGAGGTATCAAAGAAGCAGTAGGCCGGTGGGATCTAGAGGGGCCACTTCAGCTCTTTGAAAAGTATTTCAGGGTTCTTACTGACCGTGCCTTCAAACTTCCTTGCTTTCTGCTCCCTTGCCGCTGCAGGTATTGCGCACTTCCAAGCGTGCGAATACCGGTTACCCCTGCTGCATGCTGTACTTTCTGTAATATGCCACTATAGGACCCATCCAAAGTGTTGAATGAATGTAGTGGTCAGGGAGACAAAAATCTTTAAAGCATTGGCCACCAGGTAAGTATAGATATTCACCCTTTAAAGCAGGGGTCTCAAACCTCCGGCCCCCCAGCTGTGGTGAAGCTACAAATCCCATGATGCATCTCTCTTCGGGAGTCATGTCTGTGGCTGAGTATCTCGCAATGCCTCATGGGATTTGTAGTTCCACCACAGCTGGAGGGCCGGAGGTTTGAGACCCCTGCTTTAAAGACAAAGATGGCCTTCTGGCACTATTTAAGGGCTGGTGTAGGCATTAGCATAAGAGGCCGTCTGAACCTTGTGTGCACAGCCCGTCTCCAGAACCCACCCCGGGTTTTTAATGAATTAAGATTCATATGTACTTAATAAAACCGTGTCAGTAACCTGTTCATTGATTCCTATATTCTACAGGTCTGGCTGGCTTTTTTGTCATTATTGCTTATGGACTTTACCGTCTGAAACAAAGGGGCAACATTAAGATGTCTGTCCACCTGATTCATACACGAGTCGCTGCCCAGGCCTGCGTTGTAGGAGCTACGGCTCTGGGTAAGCATGTCCAGAACAAAGTCTTAACACGAAATATGAGGATACTGTTTTACTAAATTGAGGAAGATGACAATGCTTTCCAAGGGGCCCGAAAAAGCCCCCCTAAATGTATTACCATTCACTATACGTGCACCCCACCACACTGAAGCATATTTGCTTTGTGCATTGCATTCCTTTGCATCAGGTTTGTTGACATCCTCATTCATTGTGAATAAGCTGCCTAATGCAACATACCTCAGCACACAAAAAATGCTGCGGCGCGTTACGTTATGGCATGGATGGACTCATGAACGGACTCTGAGGGTAAACAAAAAGGCCTAAAACTGCTGTATTCAAGTTGGGAAAATAACTGTAAATGTAGGGGATTTCTGAATGCACTTAGCCACAGGGGAAAGCAGGAGATAGGGCAAGCAAGGGCAAAGCACAGGTTTGTGTTAAGGGAGGGTTGGGGTCATATGGATGGTTACTGTGAGGGGGACAATTAAACTGACAACAATCTCCTAGTGCTTAGAGCTAAAGTGCCGCCCACAGGGGATACAGGGGTGGTTTGCATGGCTTTGCCAACTCCAAAAATAAAGAACAAACCTCGTTTTATTGAATATTGGACGTAAAGTCAGTCAGATTACTAGGACAATGTCCTCTCTCCCTCCAGCTGGGGAACAGAATTCTAATAAGCTGAACTCAGTCAATAGGGAGGTCTCAATTTTGGGAATTAGACTGTGATGTAAGCACTCTGTGACCCGACTTGTCTAATCTAAGCTGGCATGAAAGCTCCGCGCTGTATTTTGCATCATGATATCTACAAAGTGTGGCAATTCAGACACACCAATATGTACAATCTAGTTATGGAAGTATACTGTGTGGTTTCTCGACTATAGGAACATTTCCTTGTGTATGTCTGCCAGCCCTCAGGACACAGCGGTTCCTCAGAGAGTTTCCTAGAAATGCATAAAGCGTGAGTTTGTATTTGAGGGAATGTCAGGGCTGGGAGCAAGGACATGGACCACGGGAAGGAAGAGACCAGGAAGAAAATGCAGCATAAATGTTATGAGAAGGGATGCTGCTGTTTACAAGTATATTATAGTCTCCCCCATACACAGACTGAACCCAAAGAGAGTCAGTCAGAAAAAAATCAGATTTTCCCATGAACTCATATATTCTGCTAGATATACAGCATACCTTCATATACAATGACCTTAGGCTTTCATCACTCTTATTCTTTACATGATTCCCTATGAACGTTTCTATGATTCCCTATGAACATTTCTATTTAACTCTTCATGACTGGCAGTTACAGTCAGGCCGGGTGATTTCAGGGGACCAAATCTGCATTGCTTCTGAAATGGGCTAGATTGGGTGACAGTCTTCCCAAATCATTAGGTACTTCAATGCTACTCTGTGTATTGATTTACTAAATGAAGTGCCTCATATCACAGCAATGTCACCATTTGTTTTAGAGGGTAGTCAATGCAGCAGCATTTTACAAAGTATTTGCTAAGATTTGGCCAGCTTCAAGCAGCTTTCCTAAAGATGTTAAAGCATCCTTAAGCTCCAGTTTGAGGAGGTTCACCCCTTCGCGTCTGCACACTATAGTAATATGGTGTCGTGTTGAGGATGCTGCGTATTGGGCAGCTCCCGGGAAGGACAGGTGCTGCGTGCTATTAGTACGCAGCCCCTGTCCTTCTCTATGGGAGTACGCGGTCGTACGCCCTACGCTCACCCGCCCTGCATGTCCGTGCGGGTGAGCATACTTGTACGCTGACAGGATGGATCCTGTCTGCGTCCGAGCCAGGAAACACGCACCCCTACGGACCTGCACTTGAGGTGAGCGTAGGGCAGCGTACGGCCGCGTACTCCCATAGTGAAGGACAGGGGCTGCGTACTAGTAACACACAGCATCTGTCCTTCCCGGGAGCTGCCCGATACATGTGTGCACACGGCACGGAGCTGTACGTGCCGGCCGATTCCTGGGTGAATGAGGGCTTAGGGTGAATCTCATCAAAAAATAAAATTCCTATTGCTGGAGATGCCTAAAATGTTACTCATAACTTAGTGCAGACTTGTGGGAAAAATCAGTAAGCCAATAGATCTGTGAAAGTTCTCATTCATCCAGGTCACATGGTATATCTGTAAAATAGAAGTCAAGGCAACTGGACTTGCTGTATTTTTCTTGGAACATTTCACTGGTCATCCGACCAGCTTTCTCAATTCAGAATGACTTGTACAAAAATTATCTGGGAATAAATATGGTGAATGTTGCTCCAATCTGTTAGTCACAACCCGCTGTTGATTGCATTTGCATAATTGGAGCTAGGTGTTATTAACCTGCCCGGAGAGAGGTGTTAAAACAGCTTTGTATGTGACAGACAATAGATGTCTCACCCGAATGTCAGCCGATTCCTGACCAGAGGGTTTGGCTCTTCTATGATGTGCCATACGCTGGTGTAGCTGCTATTTTGTTTCACCGACATACAATCTCAGCTAAACAGCCCGGTTTTTGTTCAACTTTATATTGGTGTGGAGTACTGGTATACCTACCGTTACAAGTAATCTAATTCATATTACCCGATGAAGTTTTGGTCATTGCCCAATGGACAGCCAGTGCTTACAGGTAAAGGCGTCCCTTAGTACTGTACTCAACGTTTGTTCTTCTTCTCCCTAGGGACAACCTACACAATGTACAAGGAGTACAGACAGCGGCAGAAGGCGGAGAGGGAGGCCATGCAACGAATTGAAGGAAACCCTACAAAGGAATAGACTATGCAACCAGCTACAACACCGAGAGCCAACACTATTCTTCAGGTCTCATTTTCAAATCTTACCTGAGCAAACTGAAGAGAGAAGCTGATTGGTTGCTATGGGCAACTGCTCCAGATTTTGTCTGCTCCGGTTTTGATCAATTTCCCCAATGTATTCAACATACTTACCATACAGATAATGTGCTCCTACTCCTCCACTGTACAAGCTCTAGCACTTTGCAAGCTATCACATGTACTACAGACCAGTGTTCCCTGGCTGGCGGTAAAAATGAAGAACCTTTACATCCTTTGCTACACATTTCCTGCCATTCTGCAGATGGGAATATCTTGCTTAGATGCAGAAAAGTGGATTTGAACCAACGAACTAGGATGGAAAGACTGAGAGGTGTAAATTTACATGGCAATATTGCCAGATATGGCTGAAAAATACAACTGCCACAGCATAGACAGGTGATATATGTAGCCTGAGAATACACAACTCTTTCCTTAAAAATGCTGCAAGTACAAAATAAACTTGTTGATTTGCCAGAAATTCAGTGATCTAACTTCCTGTAGTGAGCTGACAACACTGCCTCTGCTGCACTGAAATCCTAATCAGTGTTGTCATCAGCACCACAGTTCTCTGCTGTGCTACAGATGATCTCCATTGTAGGTGGTGGTGGGGAGAGGTGTTCTGGTCCTCAGCAGAAGACACAGAAATCACTGTAGTTCGCTTCTTTCTGACCTTTAAACTAGCTCTGCATTCCCACTTGTATGGGAATTTAAAATCTGATGCAAGCAAAAGCCTGTCCACAGAGGCTCCAAGTCTGTGAAACTGGAAGCTTCAGTTAAAGAAGAACTCTGGGCAGAAATAATCTTCACAGTGAGGCTACCCTACCCCCCCCCCCCCCCCCCCACACATTGCAATTTCTAGTTTTCGTCTACGAAAGCCTTTTGAAGATATACTCGCCTGAATCTCAGAGCCGGCTGGCTGTTAGATCGGTCCCTGCAGAGTTGCCCCAGCGTTGTAAGTCCCTGCGAGTCATCACATCCAATACGCTGTATGCTGAGAGGCATTTCATTGCTGGAGAGGACGAGAGAGGGCTGCAGGGACCAGTCTAACAACCAGCTGGCTCCAAGGTTCAGGTGAGTACATCTGTTATATTCATACCTAGACGAAAACAAGCACTGAACCCTTTCAGTGCGGGGGTAGCCCCACTGTACGGGTTAAGATGATTTCTGCACGTTCTTCTTTAATGCAGTACTGCAAACCCTTCCTCCACAACATCATTTCCCCTACACTACTAGCTTCCAGACTGAATGATGGCCAGCATCATTCAAGCCACCTCCTCTGAGCTCAGGCTGTCATGGACACACTGAAGATCTATCACTGGACATCATTATGTGAGTGTTGTTCAGGGACTGCTAACTGCAAAACGAGAAGAGGAGTGACTTATGATGTCACCCGATCAGCCAGAACATCCTTGGCAAAAAGGTACGTATAATTTGATTAAAAAATAAATACATTCGGAAAAGGTCATTTCACACTGGAGTAAACTTAAAGCGAACCTTTACACTCAAAAATATAATTTTACCGATGCATCCCTCTACGTATGATGATAAATAATAACAGACATATCAGGTGTAAAATGCTGGGATTATGAAATACTTGCAGAGCATTCACTTCCCGCTTTGAAAGTGCAAATGACTTCAGTTTGCCAAAGCATTGCATCCTGGGAAGGTTACATCAGCAGAGCATTGCTGGGAAATCTTATCTCTGGGAAAAGCATTTTCCTCCCGAGATGATGAGCATGGTCAGATGGACCTAGTCACATGTGCCAGAAAGTAATAGGAGATCTAGTAATCTGCCCTTAGTAAACATGGCCACTGTCAGAAGACTGGAGAAGAAAAGAAGAATAAGGTATGTAAAGAATATAAAGCCGGCAATTATCTAGAAGTATGTGTTTGTAGATTGTCATTACTAAACATTTCTAAAAGGTGTGTTTGTTGTTATTTTAAAGATATGGGTAAAGGTCCGCTTTAAGTTTGCTGATGGTTTCACTTGACGGAAGTTCTCTTTTAATACAACATTTCCTTCCACCTCTCACTGATCAAACCTTAAGAGAGCAGAAGAGGGAGCCCAAGTCACCAGCTCTTATGTCTGGGCATTACTGAGTAAACCAATATTACTGCAGAAGCCATTTAAATGAGGAGGGCTGACACTGTGTAAAAAAAACGAGCCTGTCATAGATTTAGATCTTGCATCTAACATATTTAGTTCGGAATGTTTCCATAGACATTTTCCTTCCTCAATCTGAATATGTTCTCTGTGTTTAGTGGTCTTTAAAATAAACCTCTCAGTGAATTATGACAAAAGGCAGAGAAGGAGTTTCACCCAGTAATCCAACAATCTGTAAAGTTTATTTGAATAACTAAAAATAAACAGTATGTACACATCACAAGGCGAGCTTTTATGGTAAAAAAACGTGAGAGTTCTGTGGAAAGCATGGCCAGCAGGAGGTTCTACTGACTCACCGAGACAACATATCCAGGACTGCAGAGGGATCCATGGTGTGGACTCACTACACTGCAATATGGAGAGCTGACCTAGAATGCTGTGCTGGTGGCAGGCTGGTATTGACGGATCAGAATGACAAATATCTGAATGACAGCCTTTCCTTACGCTCACATGGGATAATTCAGGACCACATCCTGTTTGGCCAACTCCAACAACATAGGATCGTCGAAAAACTTGCTGATGCTTACATCTTCACTCAGGCCCTGAAATATGAAAACATCATATGAGTAATGGCCTCCGTAGTAAGTCAACACAATAGGTGAATAGCTGGGTAACACATAGGGGCCGATTTATGAAGCAGTGCAATACCAGAAAGCGAAAACCAACCCTTCACATTTATAAAGCTTAGCAATGTGACTACAAATGTGCCTAGCACTCCGAAAACAGCAAATTGCTATTAGAAAATAAATGGAGGGTGTGAGGTACAAAAATAAAAATGGATGGAAAGCCCAGTCATGTGACCACTGGCTCTCCTCCAAACACAAAGTTCTCTCTGCTGCATTGAACAGATATAGTATAATGGAGAGGGGAGCACTGTGAGAAGGAGCAGTAAAGCACAACTACTGCATACTAATGGAAAGCAGCTGCTTCAATGTACATACATATTTGCATATCATATAGACTTGGTTCCTAACATAAATGTTAGGATGATGATTTACATCAAACATCTTTTACATAATAACCAAAAAAGAAAAACCTGATACGATGATACATTCCCTTTAACAATGACTCCCAGCCTTCAGTCTTGCACAGTTGTACAGGCTCTTCTCCTGGACTGAAATTGCTTACTATGATTGCACTGCACACTGAAGAACAACTTTGGGTAAATCCACTTGAAGTGAGACAGTCACTTTAAAGCACATGTGTCAAACTCAAGGCACAGGGGCCGAATCGCCTAGACTTCTACTTTCAGATCTAGGTATTAAGTTATTACTAAAACCAGTGAGAATCGAATGCAGAGGCAATTATGATAAAGATTAGATACATTTATATAGTCTTACAGGTCCCTTTGAGGGCAACCATAATGTTCCCACGATTAAATTGAGTTTGACACCCCTGCTTTAACGATATGGATGACCCAACAATGTACAGTCCTCTAAAATCTAAATAAAGTGTACTTCCAAACACTGAAAGGTGTTACATACCTTCCTACGCCTTGTCTTAATCATGAACTCCCTGGCAAGGTGAGGGGCTGGCTGGGGTTCCAGAGGTCGAATAATGATGCTCTTGTCCAAGGGGTCTCCCGGCACAATCTGGCATTGGAATACAGTAAATCAGTGAACACAGAATTCCAAAGGAGTACTGATGAGATGACTTAGTCTTAACTGTTTCCAACTTACCTGCCAGTGATGGAAAACAGACAGGCTGAAGGCCTGTCCCTGGGTGTGTGTGCGCAGATCTGTCTCAAAACCAAAAGAATCTATGGCAGGGATGAATGCTTTGATGGTGTAGAGTGGGGATCCAGGTATAGGGGCGTCCTGTGTGACGTGGCCTCTATAAGACAGAACCAGGAAATGAATAACTTGCTTCAAAAGGAGGGACAATTCATTCATTGGTTATATAGACAAAGCAGACACCCACCTCCTCCTGGCCAGGACAGTATACACAGCAGAGACACAGTCAGCGGGAGCTTGCACTTCCACAAAATAATATGGCTCCATGAGACGGGGTGTGGCCTGCAAGAGAAACAATGATAAGTGACCCAACATCTTTCTTTCATTCATCAATAAGAATGCCAATACCTGAACCTGAAACTCATTGATGTCATGGTGGAAGAAGGGGACAGGGGTATATCAAGACACTGGAACATATAATGCTGCCAGTCACGTGAAGCTCTTTTCATATCTGTGTTTTGCTACCTTCTGATGTGAATCAATGTCACAAGGTCCTGCTCTTTTATACGCATGGTGCGTTCAGTGTGGAAACAACTGTCCAACTAGAAATGAGCAATCCACAGAAAAGGTTCGACTATCGCCTGAACAGCTACAAGTCTGAACGTGCTTTCAGGGCAGGCTGGAGCTTGTCAACCAGAACAGATTACTGGAGCGGTGACATGAATTCCCAATCTTACTGTTAAGCCCCACACAGTGCCAGACACAACTGAAATGCCAAGTCAGCATTCAAATGTCTAAGAACTACATGTTACTCCCAGCAGCCAATTAGATTTTCATATGTATTCTACATTACACCCTACAAACAGGTACAAAAAAAAATAGCATTTCCCCCCCCCAAATTCATGCTGAAATGAAACCTTAACAATTGAATTCTCTTATTTTCTCCCTATTGGTCTGTTAAATATACCACTGACAGCATTTTGTTATGTCTGCTTGATAAGTGCAAACATTCCTGTTGATCTTGGCATAAATTCAGAGCTGTCATGTGTCCCCTGCACACTTCCTGTTTCATCTCAGGGTCTACTTAGCTCATCTTTGACTCCAGACTAATCTGCCTTTATATTTTTAGCGATCAGAGAGTGGG